GGAAGGGACCTTACAGATCATCGGGTCCAGCCCCCCTGTTCTTGGGCAGGAAAAACTGCTGGGATCAGATGACCCCAGCAAGATAGGCGTCAAGACACTTTTTGAAGTTGTATCTGAATAAAGAACCTGTGCCACACCAGAGAAATAGGAGTGGGATGCCCTGGAACTATAACCCACAGGATGGACCACAGCACCATAACTTCATTGTCATAACTTCAACACATCAAATAGTATTTCAGAACCTAAATATTTTTAGGCTTTCTGTTAAAAAAAACCAAAAACCCTTTTCTTAATGAAAATTTGAAATTCAGCATGACATCCTCCATCAAAAGTTTTCCTTTTAAAAGGAAAGGGCCTTGTCTTTCAAGACTTCCTGCCTACTTAGCTACTCTACACTCATCAGTGTTTGAACACCCCACTCTGCCTAGTATGAGTGCCAGTGCTCTTCCCCCTCACCACATTTACAAAAGCATATCAGAGGGCTGACTTTTTTTTTCACATGTGGCACCTCAAAGAAGGCAGGCTGTAGTGCTGCAGTGAGGGCTGTCCAATGAGCTTCATAATCTGCTCCAGAATGTAACAAGCATCCCTGTTGTGATGTGACAATGCACACGGCAGAAAGTCCACATGGTGTGCCGCCAGGAAAGCAGCAGCTACTCCAGCGAGCTCTTTATACATGTGTCGTGCTTTAAAATTTGCCATTGTCTTTTTCTCCTGTCACAATAAATAGGCATTGTAGTCCAAAGCTATCTGTACTTTTAGCGAATGGGGCAAAACTCCAGAGATCAGGTAAAAGATATTTTTCTCTGGTAGCTCAGGAGCACCTGTTGCAGGCATGGACCAAAGCTGTGCTTGGAAACGCACCAGATGGCTGTGTTGGGTTTTAGTAGACCAAGTCCAAAGTTCTTTAAGCCTCCTCAGTCTTTCCAGCTCAGTGTATTTTCTCTGATCTTAGTTTGTCTCAGAGCTAAATTGCCAGGCTTTTTCCCATAACCAGAGCTGGCTTATATCTTCCATTCTCCTCTGCAAAGCCCCTTGGAGTCTCAGAGCTATGAGGTCTGTTGGTCCCACTTTGCTACCTGGGATCTTTGCTTCATCATTGGGACGTTCTATTGCTCTTTGCAAAACTTCTCCTCCTTGCAGAGGGGGAAGATAAAACTGGTTCTCCTGGGCTTCAGCTACCCCATTGTCCCAAGCCATTTCCACCTCAAGAGATGACTTGGAAGAAAGGCATGTGTCTCTCTCTCCAACAATGGTGGATGCCCATTTACACAGAGGCATTGAAAAAGCACCATAACTTCATTGTCATAACTTCAACACATCAAATAGAATTTGAAATTGAACATGAATTTGTAAATTGTACATGTATTGCTCCTTGATGGAAACCTGTGAAGCTGAACTTTGCTCCTAATGTAGGTTGTGAACAGGTGTAGAGCACGAGTAGAAGGCACGTGATCTATTTTATCTGCAGCTCTAAGAGTCAGTACAACAATGCCAGGACATTAGAGAATTTAAGATTAAAAACTGCTGGAGTAGATCCATTGACTTTAATCATAGACCATGGAATGGGGTGGGCCACCCAGGCCATGGCCCAACCAACTTTTTAGCACATTCATTTATATAACCCACATATGCACAATTGTCATTCCAGTTAAAACTGTATAGCTATTTTTTTAACTGCATACCTAGCTAAATTAATATGCTACAAGTTGGTCGGGCCATGGCCCGGGTGGCCCACCCTATTCCGCAGCCTATGACTTTAATGATGCTAAAGCGTGAGTGCAAGTGTGAAGTGTAACTGACCCCTGGGACATACTGCCATATCACCTCCAAAAGGTGAAATAAAATAGGTGAGGAAATAAAAAGGTGAAATAAAATACCCTTTATTTTAAATTGTGTGTTTTCCTGCATGGACCTGAGTGTGTAAAGTGAGTGTGTGTTTTCCTGCATAGACCTGAGCGAGTCCTATAATTAGAAAGCCAGCTGCTCTGGAACAAGATAAACTTGGAAAAGAAAGCCTATGCATTATTCAGGCTTTGGAAGACTTAAATTCAATTTCAGGTGCCCTAAAGCAATGGCAGGTTTAACAGCAAACTGAAAGCAATGATGGAGCCGGGAAGTCATCTATGAATTTTAGTTCCCCCTTATAATGCTCTTACCCTTACCTATTTAATCTATCCATTATTTATCATTGATATACACTACATTAAAGCAACACTAATGTTTTAATGTGGAATACAGGCTCTGCTTGCACGACATTAATGGCAGAGCTCTCTGCATGCTGGACTGAAGATCATCTTCTGATGGCTGTAGCCATTCAGCTGAGACCTGGAAGGGGGTTGAGGTACCGCTGAGCACCAGAAGGCAGGGGATGCCAGCAGCAGTGGTTGGGATGCCTCACCTGTTGTGGGGGCTTTGGTTGTGGTTGCTGCTGCCACAGCATGCTCTCCCCTCCTACCGGGGGAAAGGAGTGGTGCTACATGTCAGGCAATTGCAGTCACCCCTGCAGCACTGGTCTCCTCTCCTGCACCCTCTTTTCAGAAGTCTAGATTTGCCTATGTATTGGTTATAGTGTTATGTATTGTATTATATTGAATATTCATTGTTTTAATACATTGGCTTATTTGAATGAGGGAAGAGAAACAGGCAGGAAAGAGAAGTAAAGGTCAAGATAATCCAGTTGTTAGCAACACTTGGGAGTTGTCAAAAGACAATGCCAGGACTGGAGAAGGACCTGGGACCCAGAAGAGTATTGATAAGATTATAGCACAGTGGTTCTCAACCAGGACATCTGGAGACCAGACAGGTGTGTAAATACTTTCACATGATTCTGGCCTTTCTGAGATCTTTGCAACAGAAGAATTGCTCTATTATTTTTCCTCAGTCAAAAAGCTAGGAGTTGGGCCTTTTGCAAGTGGTGTTTGAGTCTAAAAAGGTTGGGAACCACTGTTACTGCATTTTAAACAGGGGCTCCGAGAAAAAAGAGCAAGCTGGAGGAACCAGACTAAGAGGCAGGGCCAATCCATCCTATCCTGCAGAACCTGCGGCCGCAGCGGGGCCCGCAACCAAGGGGCCATGCCCTGCTCACCCCCTGCTACCTGCGCCATGTTTAAGGGGCTCAATGCAGGCAGGGAGCCCCTTCCCAGTTGAACTGGGGAGGACTTCCCAGCTCCACTACCATCTTGGCCCTGGCCCTGGCCCCAGCCCTGGCCCCAGCCCCAGGGAGGGAACCCAGGCATCCCCAGCACATGCTGCCCCCACCTTGCACCCCCCGCAGCACAGCCCATGGGTGTGCAGCCCAGCCCATAGTATTTTACTTCAATGAGTTTATACCGCAGTTAACCACAATTTTGATTTTTCGATGGATCGAGAGCCCCAAAACTATATCTTGCAGGGGCCCCCAAAAAATTGTGTGCTGGCCCTGCTAAGAGGCACTCCTCTTATTCTGGTTCCTCCAGTGGCACTCACTGGGAGATCTTGGAGTAGTTAGACCTGCCTACTTTACCACCTGGGGAAGGTAAGTTTTTAAGTAGGATACATGTGTGTAATTAGTGGGTGCATCTACACAAGATGCAAACTGCACAGTAGCCAAATACTGTGAAACACATGAAGACCGAGGCTGAAAAGAGTTCACTCAGAGAGAAAGGAAGGAGACAGATGCACAGGTAGCACTGTATTCATGACAGGGAGCCGGGCAAGATCAAATATAATTCATTCGACAATTCTCAGCTACTGCAGAGTCTCTTCTGTCCTCTCCAACTTCCATCAGGCAGAACACTTGAAGCTGGAGGATTAGGGAAAATTTGGCCCTAAAACTGTATATATTTTCAGCACAGTCATAAATCTAGAGCTGCTTTGCATTACTTTTCTCTTATCAGGTCAAAAAAAAAAAATCCCACTGGCCAATCAGGCATCAATTGAAAGAAGGTCACATGAACTTGTAACCTAAAGCAGGAAGGGCTCAGAACAAGAGAGCTGGGGCTGCAGTTCTTTCTGTTCTCTCTCTATATATAGCATATAAAAATGTTATATGGCTCTTTATTTCCATCCCAAAGGGTCTGTAAGCATAGGCTATTTACAGGCTCTGTCCTACAAATGTGTAGTATGAATTATGCATGTTTTATTAGCATTACTCTAGTGAGCAGTGTGTGTGTGTGCATGTGTGCATGTGAAAAGGAGAGAAGTGGGATCTTGTTTTACGGAGCGGCCTCGGAGGAAATGAGAATGCAGGCCAAATGAGGACAGTGGCAGTTACACTTACATGGTCAAATACTCAGCTGCTGTAAATCAGGAGAAATTTGAGTAATTTAAATTTACACCATCAGAGGAGTTACCCACCAAGGTTCATTTTAGCAGGTGGATACCTAGAGAGCAGACAGGGAAAGAGCTGTGCTTTCCCTTGGCCCGAGGAGATGGGGTGTAGAGGTTATGACTCTGGGCTAGCCAGGGGTGAAAAGACTTCTGACTGTAACACAGACAGGATTAGGCTTTGGGCATGTTGTCCTTGGCCTTTTGTAAGTAAAAAATAGTTACACGGGATCTTTGTCACCCGCTCTTAAAGAACTTATTTCAATTGTAAGCAATAACAGAATAACAATAATATTTATTAATGAATGGCTGAGCTGCCCGTTGATTTTGTGCGTGTGTGCCTTTCTTCTTATACCAGGCCGTGAGGCGTCTCGTGAAACTGCGTTTACAGAAAATGCTATGCAAAAATAAATTGTTAATTGTGTTTGTAATCATTCTTGACTACAGCCCTGTGAGTCACTTCTTGGAAGCCTCATTCGTGGTTCAGCCAGAGTTTAATGCCCCCAAATACTGCATATTTCTTCTCCCAGGCAGAGGGAATTTCATATGTTGGCGCCTTTAATTAAGGTCCAGGAGACTCTTTTACACAAACTCTCTTAACAGTTTAGTTTTTTTTCTTATTTTTTCTCTTTGTTATGGATTTTTTTTTGTCTCAGTTATCTGACCAAAGTCCTCCTTATTGTCTGTTTCAGATAGCAGCTCAGGCCGTGTTATTTATGTGCATGAACACAGCCGGCATCTTCATCAGTTACCTGTCAGACAGAGCTCAGCGCCAAGCGTTCCTGGAGACCAGAAGATGTGTAGAAGCAAGGCTGAGGCTGGAGACAGAAAACCAGAGACAGGTATAAAGAAGACTATTGCTGCTTTCATGCCAACTGAAATGGATATGTTGGTAGGACCAGAGTGTCCTCTCAGTCATGCCAGTGTGATACCATGGACTTCAGTGGAATCACATCTGATTTATGCTAGTGATACGAAGTTTATGCACATCACTTTGCTGGTTTTTTCTGACAAATCTCAAAGGCTTTCATCAGGAAATCTCTTCTTTGCCAAGCAGTATGAAAGTGTCTTTTTTCATTTTCTTCGTTCTCGTACAATAGCTTTTCCTCCCGCTATAACCCTCATCCGGCCTTCTTGGCATGTGGGTTATAGTCACTTTGTGTCCAGCAAATGCTAGATCATAACATGTGTGTCTGCATTGCCACTCTCAGTAGTTTTAGGATCCATATGCAATTAAGTGTAACTCATTTTACTGTTTGCTGAAAATTTGCTGAAAGATTTTGCTGTTGTGAACACAAATTATTTCTCTTTCGTGTTTCCTTTCCTTTTTGCCATTTCATCCATAAAGAGCTACAGGGAGATGTTATGCCAAAGGTTTATTGCATTTCCCCTTCACAATGGATATATCCTGATATAGGTTGTATTGGATTCTTTGCACAGAAGGTCAAGGTAGTGGTGTTACTTGTTATATTGTATTAAAATCTGATAAAGTTCATCTGGCTATCCTAATATCTTCCAAATATAAAACTGATAGAGAATGTGAAATCCAAATAACTGTATGCTCATATGAATAATTCTACTTTTATTTCTAGAAATGTCTAGCAGAGTGTGCCAGCATGGGCTGAGGGGAAGAGAAAGAAAATAGACAGATGGGATGGGACTAAAATTGTGCACGTGGAAATGGAGAAGTGATTCTTTGCAGAATTAGTCCATGGTAGTTTCCAAGAAACTATATAAACTGAAGAGAAGTCTGTATAACCAGTTACCTAGAATCACAAAATGCAGAAAAAGGTAACAGGGATGATATAGCTAAGACTCCCCTCTCTTCAAGAGCTGCTTGCAGTAATGCAATGTGTGTTACTTTTAGGGTCTGTTTCCAAGGACTACAATAACAGAGATGCTACATGGTTGCTTCTTCATAATTTCTGAGAATTCATGGTCTTTCTAAGCCTGGGAAGTGTATAGAAGTGAACACGTAGATGTGCGTTGTTTACTGCAGCACTAATTAGTCTACTCTGCAGTAAACAGCTCATGTAGATGCGCCCAGCAGGTAAGTGGAGGGAATAAGATACCCAGGAGGCAGTGTTGGTGAGCATAAACCTGCTAGATTTTTTGGTGGGATTGGTGAGCCCCAGCCCCGCAGCACTAGCGAGGACCAGATCTGAGATACTGCTTGATAAATTCCACATAGAAACTGTGACCTATTTAAAGCAAAAACTATTTCATTTTTGTTTTGTCTTCCAAGCCATCTTTCATTTTTGTGGAATGCAGTGAAATTTCAAGGTGAAACCAACAAAATCATGGTTTTTGCCCATTTTGGAGGCTTTTTTTTTCTGGTGCAGCTCTGAGCTGAAATTGGACAATTGAAGTGGTGGCATCTGTTGCAAATCATGTAATTCTTGTTATTCTACAGTGGCTTTTTTCTGGTTTCCTTTGATCATTATAATGATTTTCATTCTTTGATTTTCTTTATCATGTGGATTCATTACCATTTTACATTGTTAGCACTGGTTTTCTCTGATGCACAGTCTATACCTTATGAGCATGGAAACATCTATATGGGCCACACTCTGCTCTTGGTTACACTGAATCCACATGAATCCAATGAGCCATCTAGGCTCTAGTTAAAAGGTTACTGATTTCTGGATAAATATTTCAAATATCCCTAAGTGACTAAGTCCTGTTTTCAAAAAGTACCTACACTTTTAGGACCTAAATCTCACTGATTTTCATGACTTACGGTTGAAAGAAATTTTCAAAAGCAATTAAGTGACTTAGAATTCCCATTTTCAGAAGACCTTAAGTCTGTAAGGACCAGTGAGGCACTAAATTAACATGTTTACTCTACATCAACTATGTGGCCAGTAACAGTATTTGGTAAGAATAACTTTTACTGTAATAGCTTACAAGAGGTATTTGTAGTGTATCAGTAGCAAACATTGGCATTGCTTGTATCTATTCACAAAACCGCAAGAAACTTGATCGCCACATTACAATGAGATTCAGAGAAGGGTGTTTGGGCCCACCTTTCCTATTTTCCCTGAGAAATCAAATCTGAGTTTTGGTAAAGATCACAGACTTTGGTAGCTGACTGATGAAGACTTGCAAAAAAAAAGGATATTTGTAGAAAACTCAAAAGAAAAGAAGTGGTGAGCTAATGGAGATAACAGCTGAGATAATATGTTATGAAGACAATTTTAGCTTAGCAGGTACTGGTCAGTAAATTAATTCACCTAATGAATGGTGGAACACAATTGGCCGGTGGTGTCTAAAAATTATAGAGGTTGCAGATAATGAAACTGGCAACATCAGACATCTTCTCTTACCTTTTCCCCAGTATGACTTTGTATGTACATGTATATATATACTCTGCATATGCAAAGATTATACTGCTAATCACTGACAAACACCAGCTGCAGAGCTGGTCAGATTTGTTGGAGGTTTGAGGATTAAAAAAGACTTACAACCAAGTCTTTGAGTAGGATATTCCAAGACGAAAGAAGAGTGGATTCTTTATTTCCTACTTGATCTTATCTTATGAGCACAGCAGGTAATTCTGCTTTCATTAAAGCAAGGCAATAAAAACAGAAGGTATGATTAATTTTCTATATTCTCTACTACAAAGCTTTAAAAAATAATAAGAAATATATCCTCTTAGAGTTAAAGTTGTGCGTAATTGCTATGCCAGTGCAGAGTAAAAAGCTGTACTGAAATGAAAATTAAATTTGACTTCTATTTATCCGCAATCCCCAATTTTCAGATGTACTATATAATATATACACACACGTAGTAGTTACGTCTTTATGATAAATTGCATTAATCATGCACTCTAGTTCCTTACCTGCTCTTTATCTAGTAATCCATCTTCCCTGGGAATTCATTTAATATATCAAACTTTCAAATATTACCATTTAAAAGTAAAAGCTCTCCCAAAGAAGTGTGTCTTTTCCTCAAAACTATGCTCATCCAGAAACTGGCATTGTGCAAAATTGTTAATATTCAGACTTCTGTACACATAAGATAAAGGAAAGTAGAGACTGTGTTCTTCCAGATAGGATGTCAAGGGACCAGCATATCTTTAGGTCCTGTACTGAAGGACCTATATAGAGCTTTAGGACTAGGTGTTGCTGGCTCAAAATTACTGCATTATGTGTTTTAAAGCTCCCTTACCTAAATTTTAGAGGTTTATTCAATACCTTGGTGTAACGTGCCTGGTGCTGGGGCCTTGAAGCCCCTCTCTCCTAGCCAGGGTTCGAATTACAAGGGAGCTCAGGGGGGCTGAGCCCCCCCATAAGAGATGAGAACACCCTGTGGGCCAGTCAGCACCCTTCCCTGACCGCAACAGCCTGGAGCCCATGCACTGCTGCACATAGCCCCTGGCCCACCCCGTACATTTCTAAGCAGCTTCTTCCGACTCCCACTACCACTGGCCCCAGCCCTATGGTTCTGGTGGGGACCCATGCACACAGCCCCAACCCAAGTCAATTATTTTTGCAGACCTCCCCCTCCCATCCCCAAGAGTCAAAGTGTAATTTGAACCATGCTCCTGGCCATCTCCTGGGACCTCACCTTATTGCCCCCTCTGGCCTCTCAAGGTCCCACCCTGTTGTCTCTCCTGCCATGCCTTGATGTTACAAAGTAACAGGAAAAGAGGAGGTAACAGGAGTTTTGGATTCTAGGCCCGTGTCTGGGCTGAGTCCCCCTGGCCTTGTCCCACTTTGCTTTGGCTGAGCCCCTCAGCCTGCGGTCTACTGTCACAAGACTGCAAGCTCCCAGGGTCCAGCTCTGGCCATGTTCTTGTGGCTTTGGGCCCCTGGCCCTTGCTCTGGCCCTCTCTGTGGTCCATGGTCTCACCCTCATGAGTACCGGGTCTCCGTGTGCCCCAATCTTTGCTGTGCCTTGTCCCTCATGGGCTCTGGGCCCTTTGGCCCCTGGTCTTACCCTCTGCAAGCTCTGGGCTTGTGCCCCAGTCTCTGTTGCACCTCACCCCTCATGGGTTCTGGGCTTGTGTCGCCAGTCTCTGTTATGCCTCGCCCCTTGAGGACTCTAGTTTTGCACCCCAGTCTCCACTGTCTGAAACCAGAGTCCTTCTGCCAACACCAGTGCATAGGATCTGGGATACCCCTGGGCACCCTGCTTAGTCTTCTCCTTCACCCCTACAGCCACAACCCAGTCTTCTGGTAAAAACAAAAAACAGAACATGAGCAGCCACTCCAAAACCAAGGGTTCCCTTCCCAGGGTTAATCTTGCCCTGCAGGAGCCCTTGCCCAAAAAGCCCAAGGTACTCACCTGTTTCTGGTTTGGGATATAGGGTTTCCTTCACCTCCACCACAGCTCAAAGCCCTTCCTCTGGGCCACCCAGGCTGGCTCTTTCCTGGAGCTTTGTCCCCTGCAGCTCCTATGGCCAGACTGCCTCCAATGGCAGGTATGGAGTTTATAAGTCTCCTGCTGTGGTCACCTGACCTCCACTTCTGCTCCCAGGCCTGAGAGTCACTGCTCACACCTGAGATACGAGATCATTTTGTTCCAGGGCTCTTTGCCCACATTAGCCTATTGCAGGGGTTAAGGAAAGCCAGCTACCCCTGGGTTCCCTTTTCCCTTTAGTAATGGGGTAAGAGTCCCATTACACATGGGTTTGTTTTTTTCCTCATCCAAGACATATATAGAAGCATGACATGAAGCAAGCCTTGCCTGTGCCAAAGCCTACCAAAGGCAGTAGAAGGATACTATTAGCATTAATGGGTTTGGGAGCAGACCCATGGAGAAGTATTCCAAGTGTTATAAAACCTATTAATCACTTGTCTGAAATAGGTGGTGCATGCAGAAATCATGACACTGTCTT